CAACCTTAGGTACCAAGTAAGAGTAACATCAGCGCGCGTGGCATCCGCATCAGCAACAGGCCAAGTTATGGCGGGACATCGCAGCGAGACCCGTGACTTCCCATAGCGAGATGAATTTCCCAGCCTCCAGGCGAGGTAACGAACGAAATCGCCTTCAGCCATGACAGATCGCTCCCCCTGGCATAGTCCGTCCAATCGCAGGGTACGTGGATGAGCATGCATTCACTGGCGGCCTGCGGCTGTAGCAAACCATCGCCACCGAGCTGGAGGTGTTCCCCGCATTCAGTGCGAGCGGTTTGGAGGTGGCGCATCATGGGTCGGCGGTTTAAATTTGCGGCTACCTACCTTAGGTAACTGGGGAACTCATTGCCTGCCTTGCCTGCCTGCCTTATGATTTGGCGGATGGATGCGGTTCTTTTCTTTCTGGGGACGCTGGACTTGGGGAGATAGTTATTCTACTCTATTGCGTTATATACAGGGGGATTTCAGGACTGGGTTCCTCTCATAGGCATTTGCTAGACTGGAACTCCAGAGGCAAGAAGAGTGAGCGTTGTTATTGCTCCGGAGATACATTACCTGCGGTGAGCTGATCCGTTCACATTCGGGACTACGTGTGGTCATGTGAAGTCTGAAGAGCAGTCGAAATAACAAGATCTTAACCACACCCACCTGGTGCCGGATCTCTCGGTGCTGGCATCATCTTGGTTGTGTAAACCAATTTTGTGTATATGCAACTGTTCATGCACCCATGTTGCATACATATGTAGGCAAAAAGAGACGAGATGAAGCTGCGGCTCGGGGGCTCTTCATATTGCTTTGCCCTTTGCATGCATCTGCCAATCCTACACAGTACGCCGCAGACGAGTCACGGAAAGGAAACGGGTACACAACGGTCAAAAGTACGCAACGGTAAAAAAAGAAAGAAACCCGGCATCTGCGGCTACGGTTGTCAGTTTGAGCTGAGAGTATCGCTTTTTTTTTTTTTTGTGAGATATCACCACGTGGAATGTGGAATGGCAAAACTGTAGCTGAACTCCCGTCCCGAGACATGGTGTAGTGTACTTCGTAGTACTGTGCACTCTGTGTATGTGTTGCGTGTGCGAGTGTGTACCAAGTAGAACAAACACTGCATCGGAGAAAAGGGCTGCAGCTGGCCATCGATATCTTCGGGAAACAGCAGCCAACGAGATCCGCAACTCGGAGAGATGCATCGAGTCATTTCCTGAACCGCTGGCAGGAATCAGGCAAGTCGGCGGCGTTGTGCCTGTCGTCCGGATTACTCTCCTTCTATCCGTTTCTTTCACCCACCTGACCGCCGTTCGCCAAGAAGAGGAAGGTACAGACTGGCGAACTAGTAGTACTCGGTAGTAAGTGAGGACGATCCCGTGGCAAGTCCCATTGCCGTCGATGGTCTCAATATTTCGTTGCCCCCACTTTGCTCGTTGTTTGAGCCCAGCTTTGCTACTGCAGCTTCACTGGTCAGGAATTCACCAGACGATGCCCCCATCCAGGACCAGGTCGCAAAAGAAAGAGAAAAACGAACGCTATGAGCCCACAACTTTTACCGCCATCGTCATTTGACTCGCTGATCGTGATCGTAGACCTTTGGTGGGGTGGATTCTTGTTGCCTTTTCCTCGCTTCCCCCCTCATTCTCCTTTTCTCCTTTCCCGAAAGTCGTGCGGTGGGCGGTGGGACGAATGTGCAACGTCTCACAACGTTGCAGGCGCCTTGCTTCCTCGCTTTCCTCACCGCTTCCAAGCTCAAAATGATGTGACATCTTGCAGGTCCGTTGCTCTAGACAACTAACATTGATGGACAGCTAGGAGAAGTCGATATTATTCCCCTGTCCTGGAAAGCGTGCCCCCAAATGGTGGCAACCCTGCCTGCCAGATCGCCCGAAGACGATCATGAGGGCGATCCCCACGATCGGCCGAGCCAGGGTGAAAAGGTGCCAAGCGTGTATCGGTGGGGGCAGTCAATCCTTGTCCCTGGCAGGCCTGGCCGCTTCGTTGCGCTTTCCTCCTGCCAAGAAGGGTCTGCTGCTCCCACACGGTGTGAAATTTCGCTACCACCTCGTGCACGATCGGGCAGGATCCATGACAGAGACAGGGAAATCAGCTTGGCATCTGAACCATCAGGCCCGAGCCAGGCGAGCCAGGGTTTGCCATGTGAGTCGGCGACCTGCAAACAGGGGACGGAAGACGGCAGAAGAGAGGGAAAAAGCAACTGGGTGGCCGGCAACCGTTTCTCAACCCTCGTTCGTCAATTCGATGATTTCGATCTCGAAGGGGGTGGGCTGCGCATGAATCGTGCTTCCACAAATCATTTGAATGTTAATGCCCCGACAGCCCGAGTCAAGGACCTTCGCTGCAACGCAAACGCCGGATCAAACTCCGTAACGAGGTCATTCTTTCGGTCCAAAACCTGCGCATGTCTCAGTTGAAGGCGCCATCCTGCAAAAATGCCTGCAAAATGTTTCAACCACACGACTGCCTGTCAAGCTGCAACGACGGCACTAATTAGTAAAATCGGTAGGGGAGCGCCGAAACACATCGAGACCTTCCAAATGCAACCCGACCCCGCCCCTTCTGCAAGCCCGAGATGCAGACGCACAGACGGGCTGTCACAGGCTGTGGATTCTTCAACACGAGGTCCCCAGTCCGGTGTAGTGCGCAGTGTGCAGTGTGGTGTGCCAACCTACCAGCCCGGGGCAGTCCCGTCCGCCATGACGCCCCCGTCGCCCACCGCCCGTGGACCTGCAGATGCGGATGCCACGCGCCGCCGTTTGGAGCATCGCGATAGGCTGCGGACGCCGTGGAGAGCATGCAAGCTCTGTTCGAACGAGAGGCAACGACCCGGGCGTGTCCATGCGTGCGCATACGCTGCACGCGCGCGAGTCGCCATCGAGTCGAGTGTTTTTTTTCCGTCGTTCTCTCGCTCTCTCTTAACCGTGCACTGTGCTGTGCAATCGAGTTTGCAACTGATCTTCGTGGATGGATGGATGGATGAATGACTGGATGGATGACTGCTTGCTCCGCCCACAACATCAACATGAACATGGACAAACCCAGGATAGCCCTCCATTAAAATATGACGACGACATGCAGCTTCCCGGCTCCGACTGCTCGTTACGGATCAACAAATCCGACAGGGGATGGGTGCCTCCCGTTCCAGGGGTCACCGGTCCTTGTCCCACCCCAACGAACCCAGCTTGATGCAGTCCGATGGGTCCCCAGTAGACTTCAACAAGCGGACATACCCTCGTACGGCCATCCCGTCTTTTTTTTGGCCTCCAGCTGATGTATCCTTGCCAACCCAACCTCACTCAACTCCGCCCCCTCTCCCTTTTCCTTAGCCTTTTCCCCCGACTTCCCCAAACCTCCTTCACTTCCGGCTCTCCAACCCTGCCGAACGCTCCGGAAGGCGTCCATTACGAAGCACACGGCACATTGACGACCCCGGGCTGAACAACGTGTGTGTGTTCCCAAAGCCGGTCCAAAATTAGTTGGAGTTACGGCACCGGGCTGCCCTCCGTTACCGGCTGATGGCAGGCCGACCATCATAATGGGCCTCTTCAGCTTCCTCTCTCGGAGAGCTGGGGACAAGAACAAAACCCGCGCCTCTCTGAAGGCCCTTCCCTACGATTCCAGTGTTTCTGTAGAAACACCCACTTTAGGTTAGACAACATCCATACCCCGGTACGGGACCTGTGGTTTTAACTCTTCAACTCTAGGTGGATATTCCGTTGCTGGCAGCAACTCGTTTGCCGAACCACCCTCCCTCTCTCGGGAGCGTTCGACCTTCAGCCAGTCGGTGCTCACTCTAGACACCGACTCCGAAGATGAGCTGCCGGATGTTACTCCGAGACCCCCGCGGTTCCATGACGAGAGCGTTGAGAGGCCGAACACAGCTCCGAGTGACCGTCCGTCCAGCGCTGCCCCTTCGAATGACGGCTCGAAAGGGGGTGGTCGAAGGAGGCCACCCCCACTCTCGTTCCGCGCCCCACGGGCCGAGATGGCCGCTCCTGTGCCCCGGCCTGGCTCTCGCGGTTCCATAAGCAGCATCACGAGTGTGTTTCGCCGCACTAAAGGCCACTCGCGGGTCAACTCCCGACAGGACGCCAACAGAGCATTTAAGGATCTCCTCGAGGCCCAGTCCGAGATCAAGTCAGCCGACTCGAGGGCGAGGGTACAGGCGGCTGGTGCAAGGAACTACGGCGAGGATGTTGCCGAGAGGAATATGGGGCAGAATGGCTGCGATCTTGGGTCGGAGCATGTCAAGGCCTTTTATGCCCAGCCAAGAAGGGCTGACTCGGGGGATTTTCGTTCTCTGCCAGGAGGCAAGAAGCTGGACCCGTACAAGGCGGGCGTCCGGAGAAGGTCGGCGCTTCCGAACCAATACGCCCTGCCGGCGTATCCCGCCCCAGAAAGCACGTCAACGGTGAACCCAAGACGGTCTCGTAAGGTGGACCTCGCGCGTCGCCGATCGGTCAGCACCTACTTGCCGCCAGGCTTGGGGAAGATAAAGTTCTTGCCGTTCGACCGTACATCCGCATATCTTCGAGACTCCGCGCCGCGAACACCCACGCCGGAAGCCGAGAAATTGGATGTTACGGCTGTAGCGGTTGAGTTACCTACCCCGGTCATGCCCCAGCTGCCAAAGACCACACCGGCTCCGGTGAGTCGCAGTGCGAGATTCCGTGATTCCGTCGAGCTCGCAAAAAAGAGAGCCGAAACATCGGTTCCAGAGGACAGTGTTGCTGATGACGCGCCCGCAAGCAACTTCGCTGCTTGGTCGGCCAACCGCTCGCGCCGCTCGTCGGCTATGCTGATGCCAACCTCGCCTCAGCGCCGGAATCACAGCTTGTATACCCTGCGGTCCTCTACCTCGTCTGTTGTCAGCGAGGAGACAGTCCATACCACTCCGCTTTCTCCCCCAAAAGTAACGCCTGGGGATCAAGTTCAAGGCGCGGCAGGGAATCCGGCGCACTCCGCCACCAGGTCTTTTGGAAACAACGATGCTTCCTCCATAGCTGGCTCATCACTAGCATCCCGTCCCACGACCGCCAAGTCCCATGAAGGTGCTGAAGTCCCCTCCCCAAAATTCCTCCCCCTGCTCCCAGTCAAAGGACCAGGCCATACACCCGACGTCGTCGTATCGGGCGACCAGGCTCTTGGATTCCCCCCATCAATCCGTACCCGCAGCATGCGCGGATGGTCCGCCTCCTCGGGCACACCCACGGCCTGCGAGAGCAGCACCGCCGCGAGCATAACCACCAGCACCTTCAACCGTCCGCCCTCCCTCCACACAGCGGACACCTCAGTCGACTTCAGCATCGGCACCACCTCGCCCAAGTTCAAACCGGCACGCTCCTCCACCCGTACCTGCTCCACCGCCCGCGACTCCGACTCGGACGCAGACTCTACATCCCTCTACGAGACTGCCGCGAACACCCCCTTCCGGCCAGAGTCAACAGAAGTGGGCAGAGCGTTCAACATCGAAGACTACCTCTCCCCGGAGCCCGACTCGAACACCACCCACGCCAACGAAGACACAACCATCACCGCCACCACCACCACTGCCCCCATCAACCCCACAGAACCAGCCTCCGACACCTTCAACATCGACGACTACCTCTCCTCAGACCCCGAATCGCTCACAGCCGCAGCAGCCACCACCACCACCACCTCCTCCCCAACCTCCCCAACAAAAACCCAAACCCACACCCCCACCCACCGCCGCCGCCCCACAGCCGAAGGCGAGGAATACCTCCTCCTCAAAGGCTTCGGCATCAGCGGGACCCAGCTCCCCGGGATCGCGGATCCCTTCCCCCCTCCATCACCCCTCCTGCCGCCGCCACCACCGCCACGGGAGCGTGGGACGGTCGGGCGGACGATGCAGCGCCATATTCTGTTAGCGTTGCTACTGGGTCTCTTTTTTACAATTGAGTGGGGATGGGGTTGGTGGGGTGGGGAAGCGGAGGATGAGTACGGGGCGGTGGGAGAGGGATTATTATTGTGATTGGGATAAGGTGGGTACGGGGATTGGGAGGAGGCGTTTTATCCTGGATACGGCGGCTGATGATGAGACTGCGTCTGACTTGGACGACGACGAAGAGGAGGAGGAGGAGGAGGAGGAGGAGGATGAGGCGGGTGATGAAAAGGGGAATGGACGACGCAACATCAACAACAACAACAACGGTGCCATGAAGCTGAGGCTGGGGGATATGGATGACGCGGGATATGAGGCCGATTATGTCGAGGACGAGTGTGAGTGCGGCGCGCGGCTGCGGCGGCGTCAGAACAGGAAGAAGCGGACTCGGCGGCTGTCGGCGCTGTGTCGGCTGGAAGGCCGTGAAGAGGAGGGGGGTCAAGACGGGGTTCAACTTGGGGAAGAGGAGCGGAAGCAGCAGCAGCTGGAGGAGACTCAAAAAGTCGAGGAAGAGAAGAAGGTGGAGGATAAGGTGGCGGCTGCCGTGAGGTTGAGGAAGGAGGTTAGACGGGCGAGGAGGCTGGCTGGGCAGCCGTCGGGGGCTGGATTGCGGCGGAAGGGGTCGGTGAAATAATGTGTGAGGGAGGAGTGGGATATCTCGATGGGAGAGGGACGGGTGGGTATGACGATCTTTGATGCATTTCCTTTTGTCTTATGGGAGGAGGCACTGGTATCATGCGAGCCACTGCTGCTTGATGGCGTCTTTAGGGATACCCGGACAATGGGGAACGGCGGAATCTGTCCGGGTTTATGGGGGCTGGCAGATCTGGAGGAAAGGACTGAACCAGATATGGACGGACGCATGTTTTTGATACCCTGATGAGGTGGCTCCTTCGAGGTGGCTTCGAAGATATCGCGATTAGACGACAGGCTTATTGTACTTGAGAGAACAACTATTAATACGCAACAATACACTTCTTTCGTCAATTGAGAACAGATCTCTACGGCCGGTCCAGGTCTAAACTCAGGACACCAGCGAAACCCCATCTATGGGTATGGGCCTCGTTCTAGCTAGTACAACATACCAACCTCGATCCTCGCCCACACACCACCCGCCTAATCCAGACTCCCCGCCAGCGCAACGCAGCTAAACCTCAGATCGTCCCCCTCCCTCGCCAAAAACTTCAGCGGCCCCAACACCAACGCCTTCTCGCTCAGCACATCCTCGGCGTCGTCCAGATCCCCCCTCCGCAACGGCCCCTTCCTCCGCCCATCCATCTCCCACAACCCCCCATCCGCCCCCTTCACAAAACACACATAATGCAAATCCACATCATCCCGCGCATCCGGCGCCGTAGTATCCCCCTTCTCCGCGACCCCTCTATGCGCCCTCGCCAGCGCCTCATCCCTCTCCAGCAACTTCGCCCTCTCCGCGGGGCCCAACCCCACCGCCTCCCCCAACAACCTCCCCAGCACGCTGCCCTCCTGCACGAACCCGCGCGCGGCCCCATTCCCCGCGGCATGCAGCAGCCCGACCAGCCCGCACGCGTTGCGTATCGTCTGGCGGAACCACAGGACGGGCTCGCCCGGCCCGGAGCGGTCGTACTCGGCGTGCAGGGCGTCTTCGGCCAGGCGGTGGGACTCGTAGGCGGCGGAGACGGGGAAGACGAGGAGCAGGGCCAGGGCGGGGCGCGGGATGAACTCGAGGAGGGAGCGCTCGGTGAGGGAGTAGACGTCGTGGATGGCGAGGTCGGGCGAGAGGCCGAGGTCGTGGAGGAGGGTGGTCATGAGGTTGGGGTTGGCTTCGAGGGGGATGAAGGCCGGGGCGGTGGTGGAGGGGTCGGTTGAGGGTGGGGTGGCCATTTTTGGTGGTGGGTTGGTCGATTTTTTTATGCGTTGGGTTGGGTTGGGTTAGATTTGGGTGTGGATGTTGCAGAAGCAGTCGGCAAGATGCGTTGGAGGACGAGGTTGAGTTGGAGTTTGTAATAGGTAACTATCGTGGGGTCGGGTGAGTCGGACGTTTTTGTGGTGATTGATGTAGTGGTAAGCTCACTTTGATGGATGTGGGCAAACAATGATGATTCTAGAACGGTGGTGCGATCGAAGTGCTTCAGGACTGGTAGGCAAGTGACCAAATTCGCGTCGGTTGCTCAAGATGTTGTGGAATGAAGAAAGTTGCAAGATGCCTCGGGCCGACGCGGGGTTGTGAGCAACCGACCGACCTGGGCACGTATGACCTCACGGAGAACACTGACAATCAGGGTTAGGGTCAGTGGTCTTGTTATCATGGATTCTGGTAGTTATAGGATAGGCCTGGGTATTCCCGTCGTTGACAAACTGTAAAATGTTGCTTGACAAGAACATGATACGATAACTAACCCAGCAGACAGACGAAATCTGACTTTCAATTTCCCAGACGGGCCTAACCCCCAAATTGAGTCGAGATTAGGATGCAATGCTTTTGAGATATTCCAATTCCAAGTTCCATTTATGCCTGACGCTTCCCATATGCACACAGCTGTATCATACATGCAACGCCTTGTTACACCCATCGTCTCGGACGCCGTCATCTACTTGCGCCTTTGTCATCCGGTATCATACATAACCCCTACTTTTCACGCCTGCGCGCCCGCATCGGCTCTCTGCCTTTCTCCCTCCGGTGCCGTCTCGGTCTCAACGTCCGCCTCCTCGGGGAACAGCGACACCGGCTCATTCCCGATCAAATCTACGAGCCCCTCTTCATTCAGCCCGACCAGGTCATCCTCCAACGGGCCTAGCAAATCGTCGTTCTTCTTTTTGCTCATCTTCCCCATCTTCCTCATCCGTTGTCGCTTGAGGCGGTGCGAGTCTTCGGTGAAGCTCAACTTCTCCAGATGATCGGCAATCTTTTCCTCCACCATCGACTTGATCTTGAAGGCGAGATTCTGGCTCTGGAAGACACCCTGATACCGGTAGCTCAGCCAGAGATACATGGCGATGGTGCGGTGCAGCGACTCCAACCGCTGTAGATAAACGACCTGTGCCTGGCGTGCGATGGGGCGGTCCTCGTCGAGGATGTCGAGATCAATATTCTTAAAGTCGAGGAGGTGACCAGTGCCGAGATCGGCGACACACTTAGCAAACGACTGCAGGGCGCTGATCTGCTGGGGATCACGCAGGTTAACGGGCACGTTGAGAAAGACACAGCGGTCCGCCACGCTCAGGTCATAGCCCTTGATGAGCTCACCGATCGCAAAGGCGTCGTTGAAGTTGCACATGTGGAAACGCGGTGACAGCCTGCTCAAATGTTGCAGCCGGGCGAGAACGAAGCTGATGGGCGTCCGGGGCGGGAAGTACGAGTAGAAGCGCTCAATGATGGCCGGCGGGGGGAAGACGCCGGCTGTGCGGATGGGTCCGGCTTCGGCATGGAAGGCTTTCTTGAGGGTTGGGAGGTCTTCGTCGTCAAGGGCCGTGATGAGGCCCGGAGAAGGCGCCGTGTTATCACCGCTCGCGGCTTGCGCGGCGGTCCTGAACCGCCCAGCGCGGCCGCCTATCTGCTTGGTCTCGGGAGTGGTGAGGGGGCGGAGGTTGACGCCGTCAAACTTGTAGCTTGATTCGAAGATGACGCGCTTGATCTCGAGGTTCAGCCCCATACCGATGGCATCGCTAGCGACGAGGAAATCGTAGTCGTTGTTGGGGTCGTTGAAGAGCGCGGCCTGGCTGGCGCGGGTCTCGGGCGGCAGGTTACCGTAGACGATGGCGCACCGGCGGCCTGTCGTTTTTTCAATCCCCGCTTTCAGCTGGTGGATGCCGAGCTTGGTGAAGGCGACGATGGCATCTCCCTTTTGCAGGTTGCCAAACTTGCCCTTCAGACTCGTGTCCATCATCTTGAGCGGGTTGAGTCGCTGGTAGCGGTGCACCACGCACTTCTCCCCAATCCGGGCGCACAAGTCCTGAATGAGCGGCACCACCCGCTCCTCCCCGCAGAGGTGCACCTCCTTGGCCTGGACACCGAGGAAGGCCTGTGTCCAGGCCCAGCCGCGCTCATCGTCGGCAATCATTTGGATCTCGTCGATGACGGCGACATCGACCTTTGCGTTGAGCGGCGTCATCTCGACGGTGCAGCTGTGGAACCACGTATCTGAATCCTCCGGGATCCTCATCTCCTCGCCCGTGACCAGGGCGCATGGCCTGTCCTTGGCCACGAAGCGGCTCCAGGTTTCGTGAGCTAGCAGACGGAGCGGGCCGGCGTAGATACCCGTGCGCGAGCTCTCGAGGGCCCGAAGGGCGTTGTACGTCTTGCCCGAGTTGGTGGGCCCGACGTGGAGGTGGATGGTACGCTGCATCATGCGGGTGGCCGGGTACCATTCATAGGGGAAACGCAGGTCGGCGAGTTCTGCGTGCAGGTCTTTGACACCCTGGGAGAAGCGGTCCCGCGTCAGGAAGAGCTGGAAGGCGTGCTTGAGCTCGCGTACCAAGCCTGGAACATCGAAGCGGGTGAAGCCGTTACGCAGGTCCCAGACCAGCGGGTTGAGCTCGCGGGTTGTTTTGCCGCCGTCGGTGGCCAATTCGAAGGCGCTGTCTAGCACCGTTTTGAACAAGTCAGACTCGCGGTCCAACTGGGCCTGGCTGGTGATGCCGAAAGTGCGCCATTCGTCCTGGTTCTCAGCCCAAGGTCCCATTGACTCTAGGAGCTTGCTGAATTTGTTCGCGGCGACGGTGCCGAACCGTTTGTAGTTGCGCCGTATGAAGAAGGCCGGGGGCCTAGTGGCCTCCTGCGATTCATTTTGGAGCCCCGTACGCACACTACGCTCGGCGGTCTTCCTCGAAGCAAACGAAACAGGAACGGCAAATTTAGGGTTCTAGGAGACAAAGATATGTTAGAATATGCAGGAAAAGAGAGTTGTCATCGTTGAGGAACGAACGGGTGGAAGAGCTTTAGGGGGGCACGAACGACTTTAGCAGACTTGGTAGAGCGCCATCGGTGTATAATGTGCACCGCGCGTTGTGGTGGTTTCCAGGCGGTCCCGAGCAATGATTTCATGACCGCGTTGAGGATGTGGTTGGGACCATGCTGGTATTGCCGGTGTAGGTGGTTGCAGTTCGAGGGTGGGATTAATTGCTTGCACCCACTAGGATATTCTTGCCTTGTGAGACGCGGTCCGCTGAATCTTTTTTTGGCCCCCCTTCTTATCTTATCGCTCAGGCCAAGACACAGGGGTTTCCATGGTTCTCGGAGAGGTCTTGGCATAGTCTGAGCCCCACCTCATCCATCCCATCCATCGCTGCCTTGCTCCGTCATTGTGCAGTGGCGAGGGCGGCTTCCATCTTTCATCTTCCCAACTTGCGAACCCAATCCCGTGCCTCTTGCAACCAACCGAATTAAACCCTCGAAAACCCAAACCCAAACCCAAACCCCGTAACCACGACATTGCATCGGCAACGCAGTAACTGATTCGGGTTCAAAATGGCATCTTCATCTACACCAGCGACACCGCTGCTCTAGTAAGTTCCTCTCTCCTCTGGTTTCAATCAGTTCAACCCACGACAGCCCAACCCAGGTAAAACTAACCTTTCCCTCCCTTTCCACAGCGCATGCGTCGCATACAACAGCACGATCCTCGCAGAGTGCACCACCTCGTCCGCCACATCCCAAGTCTCCTCCCTCGCCGCCCTGATCCTCCCCAAGATCGACCACGCCTCGCCCCAAAAACTGACCTACACCCACGGCTCCCACCATATCCACTACATCTCCGCCTCCCCCTCGGAATACCCCCCCAACCAATCCACCGCCGGCGGACTCACCTACCTCGTCGTCTCGGATTCCGCGGCCGTCAACCGGCGCATCTCCTTCGGCTTTCTCGTCGAACTCCGACGGCGCTTCCTCGCCGCGTACCCCCCCGAAACAACGGACTACGCCTCGCAGCCGCACTACGGCTGCGCGAGCTTCAACGGCGACACGCGGGGCCTGATGGTGGAGTACGGGACGACGGCGGGGGGGCGGGACGACGCGCTGGGCAACGTGCAGCGCGAGATGGACGACGTGCGCGGGGTCATGACGCGCAACATCGAGGGCCTGCTCGAGCGCGGCGAGCGCATCGACCTGCTCGTCGACAAGACCGACCGCCTTGGCCAGGGCGCCGGCGAGTTCCGCGTGCGGACGCGCGGGATCCGCCGGCGGATGTGGTGGAAGAATGTCAAGTTGATGGCGCTGCTGGCGTTTGTTGTTGTGCTGATCTTGGCGACCATCGTGGTGTCGGTGAAGAGTTAGTTAGTTGGGGGTTGGGGTGTTGTTTGAGCAGGTGAAATTGGAACTTTAGCTGGTGGGGGGGTTATTCAAGGTGTTTTGGGGGCGTTTGGAATTTGGCTGTACTAGATATTGTATAGGTCACTGCTTGCTTAGGGGAAGCGGGAGTATTTCGAGCCGTGCTTTATTATTGATTCCGTTTCTTTGCTGCGGACTTTGCGCCCCCGGTTCCCTTTTATATCGGGTGTTCCGAACATCTTAAATTACACCCATCTTTAAACTTTCGTTATCGCAACCCGTACATGTGAGACGCCTGTGCTGCCAATCCCAAATAACATGGTCAACCAAACCAACCTCTACGACGTCTTCTACAACGCCCCATGAGCTAATACAACCATTCCCTCGCATTCCTCACAGCCGCGGCCCTGCCGACTTGCCACTGCCCCGCAGCGCATCCTTATAGACGTAGCCGTGTACGACCGGGTTGAATTCTGGGCCTGGCGAAATGGTGAATGGCGGCCGGCGCAGCTTATTTGTGAAGAAGGCGGGAATGGGCAGTGTCGAGGCGTTGTATTTGTGGATGCGGTGCTTATTTGCCCCCAAGAGTGCCTGGCCAGGGGACCTAATCGAACTCCTGCGCCGGCGCTGGTAGAGGTACTGGCGGCGGTACTTGAAAGTGTTGCTGCCATGGTGGATGTGGTGATGGATTGAGTAAATCCCGGGGTTTTGCTGTGCCCGAGGTTGATTGATTTCAGCTTATCAAGCTTCCAAGGTTGTCAATCAATAATTCAGTCAATCGGGTCGGCTTGTTGTAACGATGGCTGAGTGTTTGCAATGCTTCTAAATGGTCTTCGTACCCTCGGCTTCAACAATCGCATGCTGGATGTTGTCGCTGTTGGTGTTGTGGGAAAAAAGATGCCGTCCCATCAATGACGTCCGTCCCGTCTTTCTTTCATGTGCAGCTGATTGCCGATGCTGGCCCCGCTTCCCGGTTCCAGAAATACCAACGGTGAGTGGGTCCTTGATGCCGGAGCTCTGGGTGCTCTCCCCGAACATGGAGCTTGGCTTGGCTGAGCCGAGCATTCAGGGGTGTAAACAGTCAATCGCCAAACTGGACACCGATTATACTATTTGGCGTCATTCCCAACAGCCTTTCCCTTCTTCCCATTCTTCTTTGGGGCCGCATTGGATCCCGTGGCCGCCTTAGCCGCCTTGGCCTTGCCCCTTGTGATAGCTCCGACGAGAGCCTCGATCTCCTCAACCTGGGCCGTCTTCTTCGCTTCCTCCTCTCTCTTCTCCTCTTCCTTCTTTGCCTTGGCCCTTTTGACGGCCTGCAGCTTCTCAACCCGCTCAATCAGCTTGTCGCTCGACTCCCACAGCTGCTTGGCCACCTTTTCGTCCTCCACATCAATCCGCGCGCAGTCCACCTGCATACACTCCTTGATCAACCTGCCCCCAGGCACGCTCACCAAGCTGCCTTCCATTACCGCATACAACAACGACTGCGCAGCCATCTCAGGGCTCTTCAGGAACAACCAAGCGGAAACGTAGAAGATTAAGTAGAGCAACAGCCCCCACAACGACCCCCTCGTAAGCCATCTCCTCATGCCCGGCGTGCGCGCCATCGCCTCCGGATCTACCAGCACCACCCTCGCCGTCATGGGCAGCTGATCCGGCCGCTTGTACGCGTCGAGGTGCTTCTGGTACGCCTTAGCAAACATCATCAGCGCGAGCTTGCTCCGCGCATACGCCCACTGCGGCGTCCAGTCCTTCGCGTCCACCTCGGCGTCCAGCCTCGGCGACGCGATGTAGCTCGAGCAAGTCGGCACCACGATCCGCACGTCGCGGTCGAACGGCTGCGCGCGGATCGCCGGGCTCAGAATCCCCAGCAGGTGAAAATTCGCCAGGTAGTTCACCATCCACGTCACCTCCACGCCCTCCTCCGTCTCCACCCGCTTCCCGCCCGGCGGTACCATGGTCGCCGCACACAGCACAATCATATCCAGCCGCCGCGGCGGCGCATTATCAATCCAGCGGGTCGCGAACTGGCGCACGCTATACAAGTCCGCCAGATCCACCTGCTCGGCGTAAATCATTTGATTCCCCGTGCGGGTGCGCAGGTCGTCGATGTACTCGACCAGGAACGCGTCGGTGGGCGGCAGGCGCGTCAGCAGCACGAGCTGGGCGCCGCGCCGCGCCAGCTCGTAGGCCGTGGCCGCGCCGATCCCCGACGTCCCGCCCGTCATCAGCACCACGCGCCCGTGCATGTTGCGCTCCGCCGTGTTGGCCCGGCCCCCCGAGTACCATTTTGTGAGCGTGATGGCCGCGGCCGCCGTCGTGTATTTGAGGATGAGGTAGGGGTCGGGGAGCCAGGGCGGGTAGCCGTCGAAGTAGAGGGAGGCGAGGAAGGGGAGCGGCATTGTTTTTTTTGTTCGGGTGAGAGAGGAGGGAGGCAGTGTTATCGGGGCATTGGTTGGGTTTGCTTTGTTCGTGCGTGGTGGTGAGGACGGGTTGGGAGGTTTGGGTGTCGGATGAAGAATTTAAATCCCAAGATCGAATCGAGCTCGCTGACGTATTATTCTACCGTATTCGTACCCCTGTCGTATGTGGGGCGGCCAATGTTGGGGTCGAGTGAAGTTGCAGTACCCCTACCGTGCGGTGGTGAATTGTTTCTCAACAGCGATCCTCTGCGCTTGTAAGCTAGCCGGCACATGCACTTGCAGCGCCTCAAGGATACGTCTCGCTTCGTGTCCCGATAGGCGGTGTATGTGGGCGAGCGTTGCTGGACAATTTGGAATCTCAATCCCGGTTGTGGGATGCAGCGGCGGGAGAAGTTGAGCTGTAGTATCACTGGCGGCGAGTTCCCTGTTGAGTATTCGGCGTTGCGTATTCTCAATGCGTGTGAGCTGAGCTTTGATGTCTGCGACTGCATTAAGAAGTGCGTCGGTAGCCTTAATACCCTGTATATTCCGGAGCCGAGATGATTCCGTGAGAAGCCCGGGGTCGTGAGCAGTAATATTGTGAAAATTCGGCGGTGTATTATCGGGTGGGTTATTGGCCGCCATAATCGTGAGATGTAGGTAGGTAGTTAATTGTGAGAAGTTGTTGGGGAGGATGGTTTCAGCTTGCGATGGGATTTTTTGAGAGCGGGATGAGGTGGGGGACCAGAATGCACCTTGCGTGCCGTTTTAGGGGATGGCACGTTCTAGACTAAATTGAGGACAGGGGCCTGTTCAGCGGATCCTCAGCCGCTTTGGGGCTTTTGCCACTCACTAACACCAAGCTTCAACCATCTCCATCTAAATTCCATACCAGGGAAGTTCGGAATCAAGCACCGTCGAATGCGATTTCCTCCCAAGATTCCTTATTTTCTTTCTCTTCTTTTTCTCCAACTTACAACAGAGTCGGGAGCATAATCGTCCATAACAATGACATCTCGCAAGGACAACCTCGTCGTCGAGGATGAGGACGACGACTATGATAAGATCCCTCTTCAACACCAACGCCCGTTTGGAGCTGGACTGCATAAAAAACCGATAGCATTCGTCTCGGCATCAGGCACAGGCCAACTCAAATCGGTCGACGACTCCGCAGCAGGCAGGCCGCAACAAAACGTAGCCGATATCTATCTCAGCCTGGTCCTCTCCGAGGACACCACCCGACCCAAATCAGCGCCGCCCACAAGCAGCAGCAAAGCCTTAGACGACAAACCACCACCCCAAACCGAAACATGCCCCGTCTGCAAACTCCCCCTCCAAACCGACACCGACACGGGCACCACCCACGCGCAGTCCTTCGCGCACCAGGTCTGCCTCCCCCACTCCCAAACCCCCTCCGCCCTCGACCGCACCCGCATGGGCCTGGCCTACCTCTCCACGTACGGGTGGGATCCCGACGCGCGCAGGGGGCTCGGCGCGGAGCAGCAGGGGATCAAGTTCCCCATCAAAGCCAAGGTCAAGGATGACAAGCTCGGCATCGGCATCCAGGTGCCCAAGGGCCTGCCGCCGCCGCCGCCCAAGAAGAAGGCGCAGCTGCTGGATGCGAAGAAGGTGAGGAAGATGGCTGAGGAGGAGAGGAAAAAGGGGGCGAGGATCAGGCAGGAGCTGTTTGGGGACGGGAAGCTGGAGAAATATCTTGGTGGGGGCGCTGCTGGATGATGAGCCTGGCTGCCGATCTTTCTCAAAAGGAAGTAGATGCATTTAACCTCCGGGCAACTCGCAACTCATCCACAGGCTAGGCCGGACTTAACAGAGGAAGAAGGTGGCGGCGGTTACGGACCAAGTCAGAGTGGAAGGGCCGAGGATGTACGGACATCTCATGTTTGGGTAAAGTGGTACATCGCGCGGTAGAGGGTGGGCTCCCTAACGACGTGTTCAGCTACGCACGAGGGCAGCCAAGCAACCTCCACGGCGATGTGGTTACCCAGGCCCCAGAGGCTTAAGCCGCCCACGCCCGATGAGCATGGCATTACCGAAGCGTCCCGTTCTATCGACACGGCGATGGGCTCGCTCCACCGATGAGTCGTTCATGCTCTTGTGATTTTCTATTTTTGGAAAAAGGGCACAAAAAAGTCCAGAGACACAGGATGGCGGTTAGAGGGGGGGGGAAGGGCAAGAGGGCAAAGAATAGGGCGGGCAAATGATACAAATAAAAGGTCAAGCAGGCAGCACAGCTATGTATACCACCATCAGTGCATTGCTTCAACGACATGCACACCGCACGAACTACATCTAAGAGTAAGCAGACTTCCGACGATAAACAAACACACATCCAAGAGTATATGTCTATGTAGCCACCATCCAATAAACACTAACTCAACTCACTCAATTCACTACCAACCACCACTACGCCGCCGCACTAGCCCCTCCTTCCCCAGACCACCCCCCACCACCGCCCTTCTTCTCCACCACGCCCGCATCTACCGTCGGCGCGGCAGGCAACTGCACCCCCTTGACCGTCCACTCCATGCCCACATACCCATCACTCAAAACCATAACATCCACGCTTCTCCCCTTCCCCGCGCCCTCGCCCGCAGCAGGGACCTTCACAACAGTCCTCGCCGTCGGCCGTTCCCCGACCTCCACGACAGCCCGCCTCCCATCCCTGGCACTCTGATTATTCGCCGGCCGCCACCCGACCCTCTTCACGCCAAGGACCTCGTCGCGGGCAAAATCGCCGACGACGACAAACCAGCCCTCGGTCTGCGGCTTGGGGAAGCGCGGCGCGTACATGCGCGCCTCGCGCTCCGTGACGGGGTTGAGCCGCCGGAGGTTAACCGTCACCGATCCCGTCTTGACGTCGTCCACCGAGACGTTCAGCTTGGGGAGGGATGGGGCGGCCTTGGGGGCGCGGCGGTTTTGGGAGCTCGGGTTGCGGGCAGGTTTTTGGGGCTGGATCTGGACCTGGACCTGCTTGGGGGGGTATTTGGAGATTTCGCTGCGGGGGCCGGTTGGGATTTCTTGGAGGGTTGGTTGTTCCGGTTCGGGGTCGGCGGCCACGCCGGAGAGGATGGAATCCGGCTTCTCGTCCGGCCATTGGGCGGATTTGACACACTGCAGGAGGCGGATGAACTGGAGCATGGAGCTGAGGTAGCCCAGCTCAGCCATGACGTCGATGCTCGCCTGGATGATACGGATCGCTTGGTCGAGCACGCTGGTCTGGTCGCCGACGTAATCGGTAATAGGCAGGGGGATGCGCGACATGTGCGCTTGTAGGAGCAAGAAGGCCTTGACGTGGGGGTCCCACATGGGCAGATCAAAGGCAGTGCCTGGGAAAGGGAGGTTGCGGGACAACTCGGCGTTGATGAGGTCCTCGTTATGCCGCACCGGAAGTTCGTCGTATTCCGTTGCAATGCACATCCATGAGAGGGCGTCGAGGAACGAAGCTTGGGGCTTGGCCTTCTGAACGAGCTGACGGATGGTTTTGTGGGATAGGTAGTAGTAACTCATGATCTTGCCAAGGGGCGTCGGGTCGACGTCGCCGTTGGGATAAACCTCGACGCACTTGGAGTCAGTCAACTCGGTCAGCGAGGAATCGACCATGGATATCATGAACACGTTGGCCATTTGTTGCGCGGTGGTTGAGTTGTGTTCTTCGGCTGAGATCTCGAGACCGTAGTAGGACGGGTTCTTGTGCAGACGGCGGAAGAAAAAGGTCCAGGTCAAGTAGTCAAGAGCGTCCTGCTTGGTGATGATGGTCTCGGCACAGATTTCGGCACACAAATGGTTGTCTAGCACCGTGTGGAGCGAAGACTCGACCGGGAAACCCGTATGCAGGAAGTGTTTATAGAAATCCTTCTTCGAGTCTTGAGTGAAAATGCGGGCGACACCCGAGTTGTCGAATTGCGGACGGCCAGCGCGGCCCAACATCTGCAATACATCGGTCAAGTCCATGTCCTTGTAGGCCTCGATTTTGGCATCGTAGTACTGTGTGCCCTTGACGACGACGAGATGAGCCGGCAAGTTGACACCCCAGGCAAGCGTGCTAGTGGCGATGAGAATCTGAATCTTGTTGTTCAGAAAGAGCTCCTCGGCCAGCTGACGGTCTGACTCGACAAGACCGGCGTGATGCAGCCCAATCCCGAAGCTGATCGCTTCCTTGAGTGCCTCGTCCTTGACGCGCGATAGGTTCAGCTGGAGATCGTCCTCGTCCATGCTGAGGAAACGCCTCGGGTTGTCCTCCATGCCGCAGAGATTGATAAGGTCCTTGGCGGTAAGGCGAGTTTGTCGACGAGACGGAACGAACACAATAACGGGCTTCTCAGGACTGTGGTTCAGAACCGCTAAAAAGGTCGGTCGATTCATGGACTGCATCAACGGGCAGAAGCCCCTGACTTCTGGGAAGCCGTCGATGTAGAGCTCCAACGGTACGGGGCGGACCGAATGTCGGAAATTGAACAGGCCCTCGTCTTTGACACCTAGCCAGTTGCCCAGATCAGTAGCGTTGGCGCACGCCGTCGACATGCCCAAGAGCCGAACGGCGTTCTTGGTGGACGACGCAATGTAATTCATGCGGGACACAATAATCTCCAAAATCGGACCACGGTCTCCCGCCAGCAGGTGAATCTCGTCAATAATGACAAGACTGACCTTGCGGACGTAGCCTCTGGTCTGCCAGCTACGCGAGATACCGTCCCACTTCTCGGGCGTAGTGATGATGATGTCGGCATCCTGAATCGTCCGCGTATCCGGGGTGTTGTCACCCGTCAATTCGACCAGCTTCAAACCGAGCGGCTTAGCAAGACGAGCCCCCCAATCTTTGACACGCTCGCGCACCAACGCCTTCATGGGCGCAATGTACACAACCTTGGAGCCGGGCCGCTCACGGAACGCCCACCACATAGCCAACTCGGCAGCAACAGTTTTGCCACTGCCTGTCGGCGAACCGAGGAGAACGTTGGCTGGGCGATGATATAGCGTGTGGAACAGTTGAGTTTGCATGGGGTTGAAGAAATGGAAGCGCTGGGCATAGATCTCTTCTAGTGCCTGGTTCTTGAGTGCCGAGATCGGCAACGGTTGGAGGTTCAAAAGATCAGTGTAAACACTCTCCGTGTCGGGCCGGATAAGATGTTGGAAGGAGACGGCCGTCACCGTTTCGGCGCCGAGCCAGCGGTCGGAGACAGCCCTCACGTAGATTTGATCCGGGAGTGGGTCGGAAAGCGGGATTGTGAAATTGAGCTCGTGGTCGTCGTAGAGTTTCCTTCGGTTAAGAAGGAAGAACTCGTGATGGTAGATCTCGGACGAGTCCGAGTTCTCAACCCAGATGTAGTACGACTCAGACGTCCCATGGAGATGGTCATTCCAGCGGAAGTCAGGTGTGATATAGAGCTTGATCCTCAAGACATCACGGTTCAGGGGCGCGATCTCGGCCTCAACGCTCAACGTCGGGAAGTTATCGAGCAGCTTCGAGATCTTGGTGCCCATCTTGTAGTTGTTGACTAGGTTCCCGATTTCCACTGGTTCCATTTCCCTCATGGACTCGATAGACAAGGAGTCTTTCACATCGAGGTTGGTCAAGACGGGTTTCGGGAGGTCAAACTGATGGAAGGGATGCTGGAACGCCCATAGGCGCTTCTCGATAGACTTGGCCATGGTCAGCAGCACCAAGCACTGGTAGCCCCATCGCCGGTTCAGCGCAATCATGAACAGAGCTCTGCAGATACGCCCAGCTTGCTGAGCGACGTAATTCAAATCATTCGTCAGCGCAAAGTCTTCCGGCTGGCCCCTTGAGATATACGACTGCAGCAAGATGTTGGTCTTTGTCTGCGCTTGGTCAATCCCGCCCTTGATCTCGTAAGGGACAAAATGGGAGTTCTTCCTCATGTTCGTTAGCTCGTCGGCTTCGTTATTCCTCGACTGGATGTTGTCGAACTCGCCACTCATAGCGATCATCATCAGGATATCCCTTTCCTCAGAAGTGGGCTTCATGAGCGAGTTGAAGATCTGTATGCTGGTGTGTTGGATGTAATACTGGCTAGCAATCCGACCAATGTCTTTGCTGCGCAGTTCCTCGGTAGGCTCGTTGAAGATGATCATCTGGCTCTGCTGGAGCGTCCTCGCCGCCTGGATAACCAGCTTGCGCCGTCTCATAATCAGCGAGCGGTCATCTTGAAATTCGTCCCACTCGATACCATATGCCATCGGGTTCCGCTTCATGCGGACATAAAGGTACGAGTATCCGATCCACTTCACGGCGTCGTTTACCGAATTGACCGTACCCAGGGCAATCTCGGCATTCAGGTTATCAACGAGCTTAGCTGAAAACCGAGACTCGATAGGAAGTTGATCCGTCACGGCCGTGAGGTAATAAGAGAGCTTGTCATGAGTAGTACAGATCATGCCAATACCGGTGTCCTCGAACTGTGGGCGACCAGCACGGCCAAAGATTTGCAGCACGTCAAGGATCCCAAGATCAACAAACTTGCCGTCCTGGGCACTGTACACCTGGGTCCCCTTGATGACAACCGCGGCGGCTGGCAAGTTGACACCCCAGGCCAGCGTGGCCGTACAGCAGAGAACCTTGATGACGCCCTCCGAAAACAGGCGCTCTACGAGGTTTCTGTCGGACCGAGCCATGCCTGCGTGGTGAATACCCAAACCCTTGGGTATAAGGTCCCGCAGTTCGCGGGCTTTTGTTGACCTGACGTCCTTCATAGCCATCTCGAACTTTTCGTGATTGCTGGGGTCAAACAGGCCAACACAAGCATCGTCGACAGCCTTCTCGTGAAGCATCTTGGCAGTTGCCTGGGTGTCTCGCCGCGAGTGGACGAATACCATAACCTGATGGTCCCGCCCCAGCATCTCGCGCACCTTCTCGAACGCCACTTGGTCGATGTTGTCTCGGGATTGTTTGCTGTTCGGTTTACCTTTGACGCCGATGAAGTGTTGCTCGAGTGGGACCGGCCTGAACGAGGCGTCAAAGTAAAACAGGCCAGCCCTCTTGTTTACGCCCAAGAACTCGGCAACATCGATGTAGTTCGGGAGTGTAGCGCTGAGGCCAACGATGCGGATCAGCGACTGAGTGCTCTCAACCTGCCGCTGCGTCCGGGCCACTAGTGACTCGAGCACGGCACCTCTCTCGTCGTGGAGCATGTGCACCTCGTCGATAATGAGCAGCCGCACCTTTTGCACCAGCTCCGTGTCTCCCGTCCCCTTTCTGGTCACAACGTCCCATTTCTCGGGCGTGGTGACAATGACTTGGGTCTGGACGATCTCAGACTTTGTCAGGTGCATATCACCCGTGTACTCGCGGCAACGCAGCCCGAGCCATGCTAGCCGCTTGCTGAGCTTTCCAGTGATTTCAGCTGCCAGCGCTTTCATGGGCGCAACATAGACGATCTTGAACTCCTCTGCCTGCACGGCAAAGTCGGTCGCCGAGTGATTTTCGAAAGGACTGGGTGTCAAGTATTGGCCAATGGTGTGTAGAATCGTCAGCATGGCTGCATCTGTTTTGCCGGCACCTGTCGGGGCGCAGATGAGCATGTTCTCGCTCGTTTTGTAAGCTACTGGGTACACCAGGCTCTGCATGCGGTTGAGCGTCTTGTATCCTTTGAAGGTGTTTCTGCAAAGCCCGTCCATCTCGGAGATATCAACTAGCTTCTGGCCGGGCCAGAGCTTTCCCGGACTTCCCGCTGGTATCGCATACTCCTCGTATTTCTCAAACTCCAGCCTCTGGCTACCAACAGGCAGCTTGTATTTGGCGCCAGTGTGACTCAGGGTGTTGCCGGCTTTATACGTCTTGTAAACATGCGGGTAGTCCTCCTCCGTTTCTCGCGCCGCAGCCAGAGGAGCAGCTTTGTGTTCGGCGTCCTTCCGCCGAAGTGCCTCCCGCCTTTGAGCCTTGGTCAGCAGCTTTGGCGCCTGGCCGGTCTCCTCATCACGGAGGCTTTCTGATGCCACCGAGGCGACGATTTCGGACTTGTGGGAGACCAGGTCGATGATAAAGTCCAGGTCGTCGAAGCCGACCAAGTCTGTTAATGACGATTGAAGTTCACCCTCAGGCCTGCTGGTGCCTAGGATATCCATGATCTGGCCCTGCAAGGCGCTGGACGTCAGACCCGATTTCCGCGAGGAGATGTCGGCGCATCTTGCTGCCAACCAGTGGGCATCGAAAGCGCTAGAAGTCTCTCCCTCAACACCATCAAACATATCGCTGCTGTCAAAGTCGATTTCGTCTAGCTCGTCGTCCGAGATGAAGTCCCAGACATCCCGAGGCCCATCCCGGGGTTCATATACATTGTCGATTTCATCATCGTCCCAGTCCAGCTCATCTGTGTCTTCATGGCCACCAGCCTTTGGTAGCCCTGCAATGGCAGCCTTCATAGCCTCTGCCTGGGCGCGCCATTCTGTGATGGTCGAGCAGCCCCCTGGTGGTGTTGACCCCGCCATCTGTCGTAGTTTGTGTGTTTGTGTGTGTGGAGTTAGTTGGGCTGATATTCTTTTTGATGGCAGTTGAAATTTAGGGATGCCGGTTGTTGAAATCGTAAATGGACCAAATCAAGAGCGCTAAAGTGAAAAAAAAAAAAGCTTTATTGCAGTGCAAAGGTTGATTATACCAGAAGGGAAGGACGTTACTTGTACTCCCTTATGATAAGAATTGACCGTGAATGAAGGAGCGACCTGAGAGCTGCCCCCCGTTTGACTCAGCCGGGGAATGCAGCGGGCCGCTGAATGGTGACATTTCAGTGGATTTTATGAAATTGCCCCACAAATATTGAAATGGAACAACAGGAAATGGTTATGGTTATTTATGAGAACAAGTTGAAATCACGAGAAGTACTAGGCACATACAACGTAGGGCTAGCCTTACTCCGAGGGGGCTGAACTCGTCCCGTGCGAAAAACGGCGAACGAGGAAGCTTGAAACAAACCTTGTATCGTACCTTACTTAGGTACCCTTCAGGTACAGACCCCAAGAATTATTCAATAACCTCCCTTGAGGGTTGCTTTGAGAGTGTGGAGAGTGTGAGGGAGACGAGACAGATAGTAAATATACATCGGAAGCCTGTCTCGATTACCACACACCACATTATTCAAAAAACAACTTTCACAAGTAATGTATTAGTATCAAGCGTCCATACAAAAGAAACCCCCAAACTCCATGCCCAGAATATTGTTCCCGGCTCCCAGCTCCCCGCTCCCCGTTCTCCGCGCCCTTCACCCTGGTCTGCTGCTGCCTTACGCTCCGCCGGGCTTGCCTGCTCGCTTGTCCCCTTTTTACGATGGCCAAATCGAGATATGTCCTCTCTGCAAACAACAAAACCGAAACAAAACGAGACGAAACGTGGCCGCGTAAGTGGAGCCAAAAAGCAGGCAAGCCCGATCGGCCATCCCCATCCACAGCTCGAAGCCGTTTCCCCCAGCTCTGGTGCAGCCGAGTGTCGTCTGTCATCCACCCTCTGCCCGCCCCCCATAATCACTTCCTCCCTCTCGATTTCCAGGTTGCCGCGCCGTGTTGAGATGTTGTAGAATTCAGAAATCGAGATCGTCGCATGCGTGCCTCCGTAGCGGGTCGTAGGTCAAGGAAGCGGTTCCAGAACGGTCGTTTGCACATCGGCGGGTAAAAAAAGGCCTCGGGAATACCCGCGTTCGAGATCATGATGGTTCGTCATAAAGATTTCGTAAAGTGTGCGTGCGTGCGTGCCATGCCATACCGCTCGGAAGCACCCCCAACCAACGAACCCTGGTTTGCTCCCTTCTTCCCACCTCCCCGTCAGACCGCCTAACAGCACTTCCCACCGCCACCGGCCCCGCTCTGCTCACCGACATTCACCGCCGGCCCAGACCCCGCCTGGTCTGGCTTGGATGTGTCGATGATGCGCTTCTTGATGTCGGCGGCGAGGCTGTAAAAGGCCTTGTCGATGTTGTTGTTGGTCTTGGCCGAAACCTCGAGGAAAGGGATGTTCAGCTCGTCGGCCAGTTGCTGGCCCCGCTCCGTTGACACCACCCGCTTCTCCTCCCAGTCGCACTTGTTGCCGATCAGGATCTTGTTGACGCCTTCTGTCGCGTGCTGCTCCACGTTGGCAAACCACGTGCGGATGTCTGTATGAGGACGGAACGGCGGTTAGTCAACGGCTCTATACGGACATGCATTTTGGGTGTTGGGTAGTAACGCACTGTTGAATGACCTCTCATCGGTGACGTCGTATACCAGCAGGATACCCATGGCGCCCCGGTAGTACGCTGTCGTGATGGTCCGGAACCGCTCCTGCCCGGCCGTGTCCCAGATCTGAAGTTTTACCCGCTTGCCATCGAGCTCGATTGTCCGGATCTTGAAGTCGATGCCGATGGTCGTAATAAAGGAGGGGGTGAAAGAGTCCTCGCTAAAGCGTAGCAGGCAGCATGATTTGCCCACGCCCGAGTCTCCGATCAGCAGCAGCTTGATCTGTTGGTGCGGCCATTGTTAGTATCCGTGACCACATCTTGCGCGGCATTTCCAGGGGTTTTTACCAAGAAATCGTAGTTTCTGTTGCTCGACGACATTATGGCGGCTGTCAGGGTCCGCGCCGGTTTCGGGACGGTTTGTTTCAATTCAAGTGTCAGGGGCGGTTCGGTAGAGGGAGCGAAGCGAAATAAGCCCGCGTCGGAAAGGGATGAGTGATTCGGTGTGCAGACCGCAATAGGCAGCAAGATCCGGAAGTCGTCCCAGCGAGCTGCGGGTTTCGAGGTGCGACGGAGGCCGAGGCTGATCACAAGTCAGTTGTTGCGGTCCTTCGTACACTGCCTGTTTTCTGTGCCGTTCTCGGGGGCAGATGCGATATGCAACGGGAAGTTTGGTGAAGGTTGCTGCGTGTGGTAAAACAACTGCTCCCACAATCAAAGTTGAACTTGAATCGGAAACCAGACAATGGCTGGCGACGGAGGAGACGAGAGTTTGGGGACGACAGAACAGGAACGGGGCGGATCGCCGGGGCCACGGAGCTGACGCACCTGCAGAGGACAGAAGCCTGGAACCAAGAACCAAGGCGCCGGCTGTTTTCCCGGTGTCAGGGGTTGTTGAAGAATGAATGCCTCGCCCCTTCGAGAGCCGCAAGATATTCTTGGCTTTTTCCGAATCAGTGAATAATCCAAAGCAATCGTTTAGGTTCGAGAGCATCAACAAGTCAACCCTCGATTGTTGCCGAGGAGGTAAGCCGCAACAGTCGTGTCAAATGCAGAACGTCTCAAGGGTCTTGGCGCACCAGGGTCCTGCCTTGGGTTGGCATCGTTGGGTGAGACAGCGAGTTGCTGAAGTGGCGCATCCAGGCCCGGCAACAGGCGGGCTTCAGGGGTCCGGTGTTAATTGCCCCACCTGAATAGGTCTTTGAACGCCACAACGTGTCCTCCTGTATTTACCGTAACCCGTACTTCGTACAGCAAAGGATGGCTGAACTCTTGAACACTGCTTGAACCTTGGATGTTGGTTCGGGCTCTACACAGTATTGCACTTTACAGTATTCCATTTTACCGCACATAATTTAAGGACCACAGGACGAAACCGCCATTTACGCCACTCGGAAAGCAATGTGCGAGATTATGTTAAGTGGCTGAGAGTGGCGCTCGGTGTATCACGTCGATCATTTGGTCACCCCCTTACCCCCTTCGCAGCGATTTGCTTGTAGTTAGGTCGTTGCACAATCGCCTCTCTTGCTTCTTGGTGGCTCTAATCGTAACCTATGCGCCTACCATGCGTTGAAAATGCTGCATACACCGTTGTACCCAATGCTTCCGTCCAAAATGTTGTCCGCTGGCCGAGATCATGATCACATAGACGCATCCATACGCTTCCCGTTTGCCCTCGTCCCAAGCCCTTATTTCATCCCGCCCAACCACTCGGCGTAGGCCCATCGGATCCTTTCTAGCGCCTTCATCTGCACTTGGATGCCCTTGAGGTTGGCCAGTTCGTCCAGGTCTTCGATGAACTCCTTCTCGACGTCACCAGGCAGCACGTCATGCGCCAGCCCGCGCAGGACATGAACCTCGCACACCAAGAGTCCGTGGTCACGGTACGAGATGATGTTGTTTTGCGAAGTCGTAGCTTCGGACAGGATCCGGTCAATCTTGCGCAGCACTCGGACGCTGCGCCTGACCTGCCGGCCCTGGCGCATGCCTTTGCGGCTGCCGAAGACGGTTCTGAGGTATTGGAATACGCCAATCGAAACTAAAACTTGTTAGCATGAGCAATGGTGGTGGCGAACGCTAATCAATCATACCGAGAACACCAGGAGTCAACCCAACAAAACCAAACACCAACTCCTGGCTCTTCAACAACGCATCGATACCACTAATAGCCACCTCAAGGTCGACCTTGGTCTTTTGCACCTGGATCAGCAACGACCGAACCAAATCCCCCTTGATGGCGCCCACAATCGGCCGTCGCATGTCCTTCTCATACGCCTTCAAAACGGGCGTCACATCCCCGGCCTTGACCTTGGACCGGATATCGTTAATCTCGAGATCGGTAATAGACGAGTTTCCAACGGCAACATCGGGGTTGTCCATGGCAAACTCAACCACCATTCTTTCGAGGCTATCGCGGTCGGCCTTCAGGCTGTCCCGGCTCATGATAGCGATCTCGCTGTTGGAGTCATGGCGGATGGTGCCGATGATCTTGCGGACCGGGTCAATGACCCAATTGAACCAGAAGTCGCGCGCGGTGGCGCCGAAGTCGCGGACCCAGTTTACGATGTCGTCTTGCCTGTTGATGAGGATGCGCAGGATCGTGGAGGACGAGACGAGGAGGGCGGCGGCCGGGAGCCAATACCTAACAAGTCTTGACGGGCGTCCATTCTCGTCGGCTAGGTCGGTGATGGCAACGCGGTGGTTAGGCAACCCCCTCTCAAGTAGTCCGAGAAGCCGTCGCGCGAGGACGGTGGGTCTCTCTGCCGGATGCAAGTCCTCCATGTGAATCGACAGTTCGGGGTCTTCTTCAACACCAGCGAACACTTTGTCCTCGAATTCAGAGACGGAGAGGTCCAGGTAGACGACGGATTGCAGAATCATATCCATGAGGGCAACGCTCCGCTCCAGCATGCCCTTCCACTCTTCGTTGCTAGTCTCCTCGGTGACGCCAAAGTTGAGCCCCTCGTCCATAAGCACGCCCAGTCCAGTGGCTGTCATTTCCCGGAGTCTGCGCAGCCGCTTTTGCTTGGAGCGGGCTTCTGATCGGCCGATGTCCACTCGAGAGAGGATCTTGCGCTGGATATCAGCGATGGACCGCTCCGTGACACTCTGCCTAACAATTCCATAGAACTGAAACCAGTGTCTGGACAGCGAAGGGTATATTGTCTTGAACCCTTTGAGTTCGCGGGTGGCGTCACTCCCGTCCTCTTGCGCCAAAGACATGTCCTCTGCTTCGGATGCGTGGCCAGGGAACTCGTCTCGGTACAGGCGCTGGAAGCGATGCACGCTGTCGGAATACACTTCCCTTGACCATCTCCACATGCGCAACGGCGATGTCTGCACGGCATAGACGAAGCTGTATGGGTAAGAGGTCATCACCTCGTCCCAGTACCAGATGTCATCGCTCAACGGGATAATCTGGTCGAGCAGGGTGCTCATCAGGAGGCCATATGTCTGCACAGTAGCCTTACTCACCAGGAGCCACTCGACGTCGGTCTCATACTGGCTCTTCGCCTCGAGAAGCTCGAGCGAGGGTAGCTCTTCGGTCAGGCCGGATTGGAGGAGCAACCTCTGGATCCGCGACGATGACAGGTGAGCCCCCGAAATGGAACCAGACGACAAGGCCTTGGTGATGGCCAGGAGTTCGTTGAGGCGAGGAGAAGCGAGTGCGGAGGCGTCAGTGGCTTGCAACTCGCCATCACGGTCTTGCACATGTGTCAAAGGCACGAGAGAGACCCGGTCAACGCGCGCATCCAAACGGCGGACCTGACTACAGGTGGGATATCGGAGTTAACGATGTTGCTTTCTCCAAACCGGGGGGGGGGGTTCCTAGGGTAGTACGAACTCGGCCACAATTGACATTTTGATATGATGCTCTAACCGAGGTTTCGCAACTCCCGAAGCCAAGAGTTGGGCTGTGCATGCGCGTTAAAAATCAGTTCCCGCCCTTCAAGAGAGTTACGCGTCAAGGTGGCGAGTTGAATGGCCCCAGAACATGGAGATTTCCAACACTGATGGGCCGATAGTCCGATCAGATCATCCAGTTGGGCCGGGTGCTGTAAGCTCCGAGAGGCGCTTCTGGGGCCAAGAAATTTTGGTGGTTGTGGGTAGCTGTCCAGCTGCCAGAGGTCCCGCGGGGTTGAGATGATGCCCGTTGGACAACCAAAAAACGAGGGGTATTGCTGTGTCTTTTCGCAGGAAAATTGTGGGAAAATCAAATGCAGAGAGCAATTCCTATCAGCTCATTAATTGAAAGAAAATATTTGCTAGGACTGCATGAGACAAACAACCACTGGTGTCCACGTGGAATGCAAGACTTGTTTGGGCTGTGGCTTCCAAACTTGAATTATGATTTCATAGCCCTGCCCCAAGGTCTCAGTCAAACCAACCTGGAGTGATGTTTTGGGGCAGCTGACCGTGCTCTAAATATGGCTTATCTGCTTATTTATCTCGGATTATCCGATTTACGTGCATATTAAATACGGACGCCACCAGACCTTTGTGGTAGCTTTCGTAAACGAGCTCAATATGGGGTCTATTTCTTGGCCCGATTGTAGAGGGTTGCTTCCGTCTTCGAGGATTCTAGAGTTGAGTCTTCAAAAACTCCCACACCATCAGAAACACTTCACTTTGCGGGCAAGTGACAGATACCTGCATAAGGACATGGATCTATCCATATGGTTGGTCTTGGCAGGCACCGGTCAGCCGGAGCTTGGGCGCGGTGTTCAACTGATCTCGGGCGGCCAATGAGCCGGGATCCACATCTCCACTTGGCGGCATCCGGGAGACGGATCGCTTGGTTCCCAGGTGGGCCGATTCTGGCGCGACTCGCTCAGTGGATCCTTGACACCCTAACTGCAAACCGCCAGTTAATAAAATTCCATTTCACCCCTGACCCTTTTCTGCTGCTTCTCCTTTCACACCACTCCCAAGTGCAACAGATCATCGACCTGCGAGGTGGTCTCTTCTCTTCCTTCTTTCTTGCCTGCGTTCCAGTTCTTTGAACTTTCATCTGCGTGCCTTCCTTTCCTTTCAACGCCGCGTTTGCGCAACCAGGCTATCGGCACCGCCCAAGATGGCGTCCGCAGTCCTGTAAGTTTCCGCCAATTCACCAGCAGACGCGTCGTCGCGCCAGGTTGGACTAACAAGGTGCAATGCAGGAACTCGACCATTTCCGGTCTGAGCTCGTCGGCTTCTATCACGACCGTCTTCGAAGAAGTTTCCAAGTACAATGTCCAGCTGAACGTCTTCGAGCGCCTCTGGGCCGTACGTGCAACCGCGACAGCTCTCGCCATACAAACCATTGGCTAACTCGATCATAGTCTTGGTATCTCTGGATGCAGAATGACACGATCGCGACGGGTATCATGAGCTTCGTCATGCACGAGTTTGTCTACTTCGGACGGTCCCTCCCGTGGATCATCATCGATGCCATCCCATTCTTCAACAAGTATAAGCTTCAGAATGTCAGTCTTCCAGCCGCCTCAAAGCCCCAAATGCACGCTAACAGCGCTCTAGACCAAGGTACCGACATGGAAGGAACAGTGGGAGTGCGCCGGTCTCGTCCTCCTCAGCCATTGCACCGTCGAGCTTCCCCAGATCTGGCTGTTCCATCCCATCGCAACCTACTTCGGTCTTGACTACGGCGTCCCTTTTCCCCCGGCCTGGAAGATGGCAATGCAAATTGCCATTTTCTTCGCTGTTGAGGATGCCTGGCATTACTGGATGCACCGGGCACTGCACTACGGCCCGCTCTACAAGTCGATCCACAAGCTGCACCACACATACAGCGCGCCGTTCGGCCTCGCCGCCGAGTACGCGTCCCCGATCGAGGTGATGCTCCTTGGGCTTCGGTATCGTCGGAACACCCATCATCTGGGTCTCCATCACGGGCGAGCTGCACCTCATCACCATGTACCTGTGGATCGTCCTGCGCCTCTTCCAGGCCATCGACGCCCACTCCGGCTACGACTTCCCCTGGAGTCTTCGCCGCATCCTGCCCTTCTGGGCCGGCGCCGACCACCACGACCTGCACCACGAGCGCTTCATCGGCAACTACGCCTCCAGCTTCCGCTGGTGGGACTACTGCCTCGACACCGAGGCGGGTGAGGCTGCCAGCAAGCAGCGTCGTGAGAGGAAGTTGGCCGAAATCCGGGCCAAGAAGGCACAGTAAATGCCATGCTTTCCTCTGCTGAGCGAAAGCTTGCATGACGAGAATGGTAACGTCTTGAATTGAGACAACGTTCTGGGAGTGAGAAAAGAGACGAACGATACAAGAGCTGGACCGCCGTAGAAGGATAGATATCGGCAGGGCTTGAAGGAGGAAGTGCACTGGGGAAGACATCCAGGGTGGATATGACATCTGTGATGACGAAACACGCGATAACTGGGGCTATAGAGCAACTGCTACGAAGGCAGAAAGACCGGGATGACGCAGTCTTGAAAGGCGTTGTTGGCTGGCGGTCCATTAATCCTAATATTTTGCACCCGTTTTGTATATATGGCATTACATTACCAAACTTTAATCCAAAAAAGAACAAACACACCATGTCTTGCAGCCTCGTTGCAGTCCGTTCTTCGAGTCAAGTATCTATCTAGGCATTGGCGCGATGATGGAAGAAGGTGATGAATAACAACGCTGCCTCGGCATCGGCTCCCGGTAGGGCTGTCGCTAGTCGATCAAAACGTTTCGAATTGCTAACCATCACCGACCACCCCCCAGATGGCCGAGCGGTCAGTGGGTGGGCGGTCGGGGAACCCCAGGGCCAAAACAGGCTCTTGGTGTTTCCAACAAATCAGAAGTAAACCCCAAGGGGTTTCGTAACCGGGCTAACTCCCTACAAGAAGGGGGCTAGCCGGTGAGCTTCTGCTATTCCGCTAACTTGGCATTTCTCTGCTAACTTACACATCCTCCTATTTTCTCTTGGAGTTTTAAGTTGTCCTTTTTTGCTTGCTTACTTACATGCTCGTCGTCCTATTCCCTCTCGTCCTTGATTTTATTACATTTTATTACATGCTCTCAGCAAAGTTTATGGAGTAGATCCAGATCCAGTCTGCTGGGTTATCGCTACTCCCCTTTGCTAGAGCGTCGAGTCGAGAAAGCGTCCCCACAACGGATGCCTCACTTCACTTCGCGCTCTTGGGAACGCAACAATCCCCCGCGGATCCCACCGCCCTGTTTGCCAGGCCGGGCAAGCCACATGCCTCTCCCTGCTGCTGCTGCTGCTGCTCTTGTTGTTGGCCTTGGAGTCCTTCGACGGCGAGCTCGCCAAAGTCGGTGGCCAGCTTGTCGCAGATCGCCGCCAGCTCGATATCCTTCTCAGAGAGGCCTTTAGGGTGGTGGGTTGTCCAGCGGATGAAGGTTGTGTTGAATACCTACGGGAGTTTAGTAGAGTTAGAGTCAGATGGAGGGTGGTAGAGGTGGGGGCTGGGAACTGCATAGGCGGGCGTGCCTGATGAGAGGGGCGGGTGATAGCATGGGATGGACCTAGGCTCGGGATGGTTACGACATACGTTAGACCACTCGGGGTGGTGGTTCTTGAGCTTGCACTGGAGAGATACAGCTGTCATGAAATCCTGGTAAAGCTGTCAGTTTAGTTCACCATCCAGTGTGGATATGGCCGTGGGAAGCCGTAGGATCCAACTGTGGAATGATAAGACGCAAGGGAAATAATGTGTCTATGGGTTGTTTGCCGGTATGGTATGAAGACATAGCAATGGACAAGCAGAGAGCGGTCGGCGTGCGAGGTAACTCACCCATGTCTTGGCAAACGTCTTGAACTTAAACTCGCGCTCAAGTGCCTGTCCCTCCACCGAGAGGGACCATCTCCCGCCATTGGTTACGAGGAGAGGGGACAGGGAGACTCCGAGCTTTCCCGTGTCTGCATTAGCTGAGAATTGGGGCTCCAAGGCACCAGCCATGGCCGACTTGGCGGTCGTAGAAGTAAAGCGTCGATTAAACGGTTGACAAAGTTGATGCTGTGCTGTGCTCGTGCCTCGTCGTGAGGTGTGGGTGATGATGAGGATGGAAAAGTGTCTCGCTGACTGATTCGGCATGCGGCTGATGAGTAATGATGGCTTTGATCTTGGTGTGTGTAATGACGACCTCAATCTCGGGATGAGCGATGGACGCATCGTGAACAGTGAATGATTCCGGGATGACGATGCTTTGGGGAGGCAAACCCAAAGTTACGTTTTTACAGATTCAGGAAACCCCAATACGCCGTCTACCCACCGAGGTTGCGGCATTCGGTAAGTCCGTATGGTATCTTACAACTGTGCTATTTGAAGCATGGAACTTGCTTGGAGCTCCAAAGCAGCCGCAAATGTTACCTCGCATTTGGGGGTGACGATGGGCTTGGTGAACTTATTTCTACCCTTCTTTACTTTTCTACCCACAACAGTAACATCGTCATCAATCGGCACAAGTACGAATACCTAGTCATTACCACATCATGTCCTATTACATATTAAAATAGAGCTGGATATAACCCCCTAGAGGGCCCCCAAATCTCTCCAGAGAGCATGGGGTCTGTTTCTGATATTCATGGCCTTGTCGTCCTCGTAGCCCGAAGCAGGTGATGCGAAGATGGAAGGTGGAAGCTAGGTAATCTACAGTTAACAAAGTGGTAATGTAATGTCTCGAATTATTGGGTGACTGCTCACACCAGCAGCCTTGTTCGAACTTTCCTTTCTAGGTAGAACACAAAACTAAAGCCCCAGCTACTGGTGTCTTTTACGTTTTTGTTTGCCAATGTCCAGTCACCGAAAGACTCCACGGCTCAAAAGGGAAGGTTTTCTATATCCGGGTGGTTGGTGATGTTGCTCTGAATAACTCCCTGTTCTTGAATTGCGGTCTGGATTACTGATCTCAGCTCAGGGGGGCAATTGAGCATGGAATCATGTGAGTTAGTTTTGGTATGTGCGTTCATTTACACTTTTCTCCTCTTTTTTACCTTCTGCTTCCCCCCCCTGAGGAGAAAGCGTTGCGACAAACCTCGACGATGAGATGTGATGCTCGAGATGTGATTACGCAACATTTGGACTGGGAAAGCCATGTGGGTCTTCCCCGACGGAGTTTTGTTGGAAAGGTGGGGCCATCCATTCCGGTCGGTGCTCGGAAGAAATTCTTCGCTTATGCCAAGACCAACCTCGCCCTGTGGACGTGAGATGGACTCATCCCGCATGCTCGCATGTTTCCACCCCGCGCGAGCTAAATCCCGAAAGCACCTCGCTGCCATCCACCCATCCTCCATCCAACAACTGCTGACAAAGCACTCAACATTCAAACCGCCGACTCGGATCGCGTTGATGCTATCAACACATTGAAAGCCTTCACTGAACTTCGGATAATCTCCCTCGAAGACCACAGCACCTAATTAAATCCCAGCCCGAAATCTCCGTGCAGCAGGAACCCAGCGAACTGTCCTTCCTTCCATAACCGTTCCTACTTTTTCTGGGCGATCGCTCCCACTCTTTTCCGCACTTGCCTAAGTACCGACTTAGGTAGCTTGCCTCTCCAAGACCAGGCAAAGTCGGAACACAATCATCCATCCCTCCGCCTTATACATCACCTCCAGCGAGACAGTACCAAGATCTCCAAGCCTAAATCGGGAACTGCTGCGTCGCGTCCCTTCTGACCCAGCCACTCGGATTTTTTGGGGTCGCGAAACAAGAGTTCGTTTACCAAAACAGGTTGCGCAGCCTCACCCATACGCGATGCTGACATAACTCAAGAGCAAGGTTGAGCCACGAGCCGAAGCATCGTCAGCAGCGCTCCTCCTTACCTAATTACCAGCCAAGCTCAACTCGCACTCTCATCTTGGACGGGTGATTCGCGCTGCTGAGTCAGGAACTGCGTTCGCATCATGTCGAACAACGCTGGCATTGGTGAGTGGTGACCTTTTCCTTCCCTTTTTAGCCCTTGCCCAGATCACAGTTCATACACATGCCCTGCCCCCCATGCAACACTACCGCCGTCGGGGAATTCACGCAGACGCGCAAGAGATATGCACAATGCAGCGTGTTTCAATCGCTGTTGCCTTGTCCATGCAAGAGATCCCGCTGCAGGTCCTTTAGTGAGGGCCGAGTGCGAGGGCGCTGCGCTGATACCGGAGAGACGGGAAAGACGGGAAAGACGGGAAAGCTTCAACGGGTGCCTCCCATCTCTAGGCATCATCACTCGGTGACGGGCAACGCCTTCAGCACCCAAACTAGCCTACCGTTTGGCATTACACATCTCCATCCCATGATGTTAGGTTGGCCTGCTCTTCACTCCCCTGTTCCGGGCTCCCGTCCTCCCTGTCATCTCGGATCGTCATCCCAAAATCGGACCCACTCCCTTTTTTCTACGTCCACTCCCACGGCACCACAGTGGCACCACAGCGCCTTTCTGCTGCTGCTCACTCCGCTGGCTACAAGAATGGCCTCCATCCCTGCCCCCGCCCCGACGTCTTCCTTACCTAATTCCCCCCAAGTTACCAATTAGACACTGAGCACACCATCCCGCGGCATCTTGTAAGTCGTTTGTCTGAGATGAGAGCAACAGCCAGCGCTGTTCCCTCCGCCTCGCTCTTCTTCACCCTTCCTCTCCCACAGTCTTTCTTTGAATTCAACTCCCCATCGAGACAGCGGAGAGCAGGAACATCGGCGAGAGTTCCCCATCGGTGAACATCTCGTCGTTGTTTCCGATACACCCATATCTGCGTCGGCGAAGCGGTTGGATTTATAATCTGTCCATCCCCGACCCGATCCTCCACAGACCCTGGCTGCATCCATTGCTCTTACCACACTCCTCGTTTTCCATCCAGGTCCTCAAATGCGACTCGCTACCATTTTAGGGTTTAAGCCTTTCCTTTCCCGCCTGCCAAGTTGATCAAGTCGATTCGCTTGTTTTGACTCCAACCCCCCCCTTCTCTTCGGCCCGACCATCAATCCTAGCTGCACCTGCTTCTCTTTGACCTCGTGCTGGTCTTTGATATACTGACTAGTCTCATGGTATCAGAGCTAGGTGCTCGCGAGCATCCTGTAGCCGCACCGACACCTGCTCAAACGGATCCCTCCGTTTACACACAACCACCTAGCTTTGGAAGTCATTTACAATCGGCTTCCGACGGGTCCGGGGTCAAGAGTTCACCCGGCCCAGCGACATTACCGCATGGGTACAACCACCACCCGCAATTTCCACAAAGCGAGGCTGATATTCACCCCGAATTGCGATCAAGCCACGAACCACCCCCGACAGCTACTGTTTACGCCCCACTCCCTAATATGATCCAACCTGGCAGCGGCGTACCGCATACTAACCAGGCAGTTGCCATGTCGGGCCCTCCTGCGGTTGTCCCTCAGGCCATGGGGCCAGTATCTCCTGGGGATAGCGCAGACGGTAGGAAAGCCAAACGGGAGTTGTCCCAATCGAAACGGGCCGCACAAAACCGGGCTGCTCAGGTTAGTAAACAACACCTCCTCCTTACGTAAAATGCTGACCAAGCCGCGCGCCGCAGAGGGCGTTCCGCCAACGAAAAGAAGGGTACATAAAAAAGCTCGAACAGCAGGTTCGGGACTTGGGTGACTTGGAGTCCACCTCCAAGACGCTCCAGGCCGAGAACTATGCGTTACGAGATTATATTCTGCGCCTGCAGTCTCGTTTACTGGACACCCAAGGCGAGTATCCCCAGCCGCCTCCCGGCATCAGCCTGCATCCGATCGCTCAGGGCCAACCATCACACGGCGGTCCCGAGGTTTCTCAACCCACAAACGCCACTGCCCCCGCCCCTAATCAGGTCGAGGTAGCAGCGCAAGCCGTCGCTGGCCTCACACGGGGCGAACATCTTGGTGGTCGCGACCCCTACGGGCCCGTCCGAACCGACGACGACAGGACGGCCGAGGAGATTACGCGCCAGCTACAAGCCGACGGTGGGCCGGACGGCTTGCCAGCAGCCCCGATGTAGAGCATGGGCGCCTATTATGGCAGCCGCGACGCATAGTTTCCGGTTTCCGTTCCAAGGGGCCACCGTTCAAGGGGCCATGCTGATATGGCCCTGCCCCTTGAGATGAGCGGCGGTACTGTTTTTGGGAGGTTCGTAGTCTCGATGGGAGGGGATTGTCGTTCCCAACCAATTCTTGCCCGGGCGTTTTGATACATTTTAGCTGAGGGGGTTGGCGCAAGCGTTGGGTGGGAGGCTGTTGCCTTGTTTTTTTCTACCTGTTTGACCTATGTATTTTACGGCTTTACCCTATGGTCTGTGCCGAGAAGAGGGCGAGCTCTAGGGGCATGGGCTGGGAGACGACTAGACCTTTTGAGTTATTCCTTCTGTTATACCTGCCGCTATGGCTTAGCAAGGCCGTTTGTCTGGCCACGGCGCAAAACAAGTATCAAATCAGGTATTCTTGGCAGCGAGGTGCCTGTTTTCTGGTGTTTTGATGAAGAATGCCAAATTAGTTGAACCAACCCTCTCGACCAGTAGAAAACACGGCGCGGCCTCGGACTCGGACCGGACGGTACGCATCCTTTCCAAACGAAGTCTGTTTTCTCTACGGCAATCGCGATAGCGCCGAATCCATACCATAAACCCCCCGCCCATCGGAACCCAAGAACTCCAATTTCCGAGCTACCTGTTTACCTGTGTTTGCTTCGTCACGACCAAAAACAAGCCAACCAACCACACACACCGGATATCCACATCCATACCCTCAAGCAAAGGCGTTCCCCAGGTCATGTTCCTAATCACACAGGTAGGTTAGCAACCACCCACAACACACCACAACAACAGCAACAACCCCGCGCGCCCCCATAAAGAAAAGGGGAGAAAACAGGAAGGGAAAAAAAAAAAAAGAAACATACCTTGAGGTACTCCCCGCCCTTCTCCAACCACTCCTCCCTACTCACCCTCGCCCTCCTCGCCTCCTCCGTCCCCGCCCACCCGGCCGCCCCGCGCCACGCATCCAGCACGGCATCATCCGCCCGACGCAGGGCGAGCGGCGCGCCCGCGGGCAGGAGCGCGGTCAGGCCGCGGCGCAGGCGCTCGTCGAACCCCTCGAAGAGCACGTTGCCGCCCGTGAGGAACACGTCCCGCAGGAAGTCGTCGGTGGAGGCGGCGGCGAAGCCGAGGGCAGGGAGGCGCTGGGTGAGGATGTCGCCGGCGATCTCGACGATGCCGGCTGGTCGACGCCGGCGATGGCGGTGGGCTGGAAGAGGACTCGGGGACGCGGATGCGCTCGACGTTGAGGTGGAGGCGGTGGGTCTCGGCGGGCGAGGCCGGTCAAAGGGCGGGCTCGTAGCGAAGGCGTGAGGAGGACTGGACAGTCTTTGCGCGTCGAGGGTTGGTCGTATCGAGTTTGGTCGTACTCAAGAGTCGGCTCGAGGCGCGCACGCGCTCCAGTCTCTCGCGCCTCGCGTCTCGTCGTCGCTATCGCTTTGTGCGCCATGGTACACTGCGGTATCCCCCATCGCGTCGTCGCGCCAAGTCGTCGTCGTCCCTCGCGGAGCGCTTGCGGCTCCGGCCCTGAGGACCGTCCGAGCGAGGTGGCGATGTTTTTCATGCGGATTTGCTGGCGAGAGACTTGCGGTTGCCGAGGTCGGCTTTGAGGCGGTCGCGGTACTTGATCTAGACGAGCTTGGCGAGACGTGCCTGGCGTTTCTCTTCGAGCCAGCCCTCGAGGTCGTTGACGCGGCGCTCTTCGTCGAGGCGGGCTTCTTCGGCGACGCGGGCCTTTTCGGCTTCCTTTTCGGCTTTGGCGCGGGCGCGGGCGTCGTGGTTGGATTTGAGGAGGCGTTGCTGGCGCTTTTGTTTTATGCCGGCCTCGTCGAGTTGATCGTCGGGCACGTCGAGGAGGCTGAAGTCGGGTGCTGCTTGCTCTTCCTCTTGCTCACCGCCGAGGTCTTTCGTCCGGGCCTTTTTGATAGACTTTTCTAGTTCCCGAATCATACGCTCCAGCCCCGCCTCGTCCTTGACTTCGGCCTCATCTAGCAGCCGTTTTGTCTCCTTTTTATTCTGGTCGGCGATCCGGCGTTGGACGTCCTTGTAGTATTCAAGCTCCTGTTCCTTTTTCATTAACCTCTCCAAGCGCATTTTGGCGGCCTGTTCTTGAAGACGCCGGCCGCTCTCCTTTTTCCTCTCGGCGATTCGGGCCAGTTCTTCTTCCGTCTTCTGCACAACAACCTCCTCCGTGTATGGGTATTGGATGATGCGTTCTCTGTCCTCGAGCCCGGTCCAGTCCATGAAGCGCGCCACCTCTTGATCATAATCCAATGATACGTAGCAGAAATCTCGAACCATGTTCTCGGCCTGTGAAGAGTTAAGTTTCCCAGGAAACCCGGTATAGTATTTGAGCCTGATGAGCTTCTGAAGGTATTCTGCGGCGTGCCAGCCGCCCCAGTTCAGTCGTATCGCTTGGGAAAGCAGAGCTTTGGAGTCGTAGACGGGGATTAGATGTGTTGCGCTGTAGGACGAAGAGACGACGAGACCGGTCTTGCCTCGGTTGTGGCGGTACGAAAACAGGGAGTCGATTCCGTAGACGACACTAGGCGCGTTGTAGCACTCGAAAAGCATCTCACTCATTGCTTCGCAAAGTTAGCAAGTGGCAAAAATATGCGGAATCCGGCATTTTACGCACTTTTCCTCGAGTATGGGAGGTTGGCGACGGCCTCGGTCATGACGATGGGCATGTCAATGCCCCCCTCCACCCCATTCATGCCGAGCTTGATGAAGACGTGATCGAGAACGTGCTCCACAACATCCCAGCTGCTCACAATGCCAGTGCCGGCTTCGAAGGCATTGCGAATGTGTCCTCGCGCTGTGGTGTCGGCGTAGCAATCCTGGCCGGCGAACGAGAAGGTCTTGCCCGCTTTGCGGTCTCGGTACTTAGACATGATCGGAGGGATTGCTAGTCGCGGTTTGTCCTCGAACGACCAGCCTGCCCGGACGGTGGAGGAGCCTGCAAGGCACAATTGCGCGCGTCAGCCATCTGGAGGTAGGGCAGGTTGTAGGACCCGGGGCTGCCTACCATTGTCGATGACGATCACAGCTTGTCCGTCTGGCTGCGCCAAAGCCCGTTCTCTACCGTCCAATTGCGGCGGAAGATACTTATCGAACTTGGCTTCCTTGACCGGATACACGGTCGGTGGAGGGAGGTGTTTCCAGGCCTCCCTTCGGTTGACTGTCTCTTCGATTGCGGAGGGCGCCATGGCTCGATGGATGGCTGTGACCGCCGGATCGGAGTGTTCGCTGATAGAAGAACGATGTTACGGTCGGTTTAATGCTTGAGCATTGAAGGGCGCATTTTGGTCATGGGGGACGGACGGTTTTGGGTGACTGTGATTCGTTGTTTCGTAACCGGGGTAAAAGATGAGGTCGCCACGAATACCGCTGCCGCCTTGAGCTGGTGTGTTGGTGTTCGAAAGCTACACAGGAAGCTCGAAACCTCATCCCGCGGTTGAGTGAGGGTACATTACAGTACACACAACTTTCGCGACGCGTACGCACTGTGCGGGTCCACTCAGTGCTCGGATGGCATGCTTGGCTCATCGCTCTCACCACTGCCAAAGCAAGTACACCTCCGTGGACAACATGTATTTACTCGGCGGCGAACCCCGACTTCGCCTCTTCCCTAACAACCTCGTCCTTCGTGAAAGCTTCCGCTGAATTGTAGCTTGCACGCCTTTCCCAGTTCCAATACCCCTGCCCCATGAGCACCAGATATCTTCTCAGTATGGCGCGAGGGCCTGCATCTTGGTCCCCGTAAGCTTTCCGTCTCGGTCAAGAGTTGGTAAGGCCACAGTGGGCGTCTCGGGCATCCAAGGCCAGCGCACCCAAGTATCTGTGGGCTTGAAGAATTCCTTCGCCTTCCTCTCCCTAACCCACAAGTCCAGGATATTCCTAAATTCCTCGACGTCGGCATCTAGCTTGACTTCGGGGTGCTTCTCCCACTTCATACCCAGCACTGCCTCGGCGTCCTGCTTTTCATGCGGGACCTCACGGGACCCCTCATCTAACGTGATGATTTCGTAAAGCGTGAAGATGACACTCTTGATGTCATCACGGTCTGGCGTGTAATGCTCCCCGATCATGATGGAATGGTCGAAATCGAAGATGCGGAGATTGTCGTGTTCATCAATCACCAGATTTCGTGCCGCAATGTCTTGGTGCATCATTCCATACCGGTAGTTCAGGTCATCCACCACGGACAGTAGCTGGCGGAATCATCGAAGACAAAACGGCCTTATGGTGGCATTGGTATCGTGCAGGGTGCCCCCGGGTATGTAACAGGTGGTAAACCCAACGATGTCTCCGGTATGAGGGTCTAGGACAACCGAGTCAAATGGAACGATATGCGGGTGGTCACGAGGAAGTCGACTCCAACTGTTAAGTTCATACCATTTCCGAAACATCCCATTCTCGATGAACAGTATTTGAAGGCAGCCTTTGTTACTTGGGGGGCGATGCCCGTAATACTTGGTGATTTCTGGTAAGACACCAAGTCGACTTGGTGGCCCAAGCGGTCCAGCTCCGTCAGATTTGACAAGCAGATGGTCTTGACCGGGAAATTGAGCTTCAAAGCAGACAGAGAATAGTTGTTGACAGCGTATGTGCGATCATGTTTTCGCTCTGTCAACAAGGTGAAGGGTCCATCAGGCTCTGAGAAACGGATGCCGAAAACACCATCCCCGAGTTGATTCACGTGCTTCCGAAGCTTGTTGATGCAGATGTCCTCTGTTGTCTCGGTATCCTCAACGGGGGTAGGGGGTGCATATGTGACTGCAAAGGTCCTCCTCTGGTCGAAGTCTGTGACGTGCCAGGTGTATGGTCCTCCATTGAGCAAGTTGCCAGATCCCGCCCAAAGCCGTGATCTGGGGTCAATCATGTTGAGAAGTGAAGGGGGAAGGCCGGGGACGGATCCGAATGGGAAGCTCGGAGACCACGAAGGGTATGATTGACGGTGAGTGTGGGGAATGTTCTCAAGACCTTGGCTTGAGCATCTCGAGCCAAGTGTTGGCGACTGCACCACAGATCTGTGGCAGGACGGTCTTCTGCCAACTACGCACACGGCTCACCGTGCGAATCTACAGATTTTTGCCAGTTTCATAGCGCTTATGGTAGAATCTATGGTCGGCTACTTACGGAGGCACCTAATGGTGAGACCAAGGTCAATGGAAACCGTAAACATTGTTAGTGTGAGGTTCATTAGAGATCTAATTTCTGTTTTCATGGGCCGGAACACACTTTATTTGGTGGATGGGCTGGGATGAGGCAAGAACACTGTTAAGATGTCTCGGATTAAAGATAACCTCCTCTCACTATCTACTTCGGCTTGTGGTTCGTTATACCGGCTCTTTCAAGTTGTCCGTGGCTAGTTATTTTTCTCGATTAGTAAACTTATTCCCTATGAGTCAAATCGTACTTACCCTCGAGGTGAAACAGGACGTTCGACTGGTAATTCTTGAACATTTGAGCCACTAGCTCAATGTTCATGTTTTGGATGTTGATATCCTGTCGATAACATTAGAAGCAATGTCAGGCAACGTTCAATGCTTGCCAGCTACTTACTTGTAGAGTTTTGTTCATCACAACGATGGATTCGTTCAACTTTTCCTATTTTCGAATTTGATGAGTATGGCGGCTTAGACGTCCCTTGGCGGATCACGAACCACGTTGGTGATGATGCGCGATAGAAGCAGGTTCTGCTGATGCTCGTGTGGACTCTCCTACTTGGGAGTTAGTGGAACTTACTGGAATCAAATTGGAGGAGGCAGTTTACCATTGTAGTGACTATCAAGCCTGGTTATCTCTTTTCCGTGTTCTTCTGTTGTTGTTGCTGATGCAAAGGCCTGGAACTCAGCAGCCAAAGACCCCCACCCCACAATGCTTAGGAGCGTCAGGGGACAGTGCGAATTCCCGGAGCGGTGAAGATTGGCAGCCAGGAACCGAGACATTGAATCCCGTCTGTTCGTCTCTGGCACCCTCAGCTTCCATTCTCAAACCAGTTCCTCCCCCACCGACAAGCCGTACCGAAACACGCGCCGTCTCCCCGATCGCCCACAATGTCCAACCCAGAAGCCCTAGCCGCGCAGGCTGCGCACCAGGAACTCATCGAGCAACTCGACATCCACTCAATCCACAAGACCTTCCGCAACCCGCACTGGCGCCCCAACCAACGCCGTAACAAGAACATCAAAGCCATTCTAGGCGATGCCTCGCGCAAGGAAGCTTCTGTAATCGCGACGCCCCAAGATAACAGCGGTGCAGCGACCCCACTGCAGGATAACGACGGTCTCTCCACCAGCGGCGCGTCAACCCCAGCAGCTCCCTCCTCGAGCGGCTCGACCAGCCTCCAGCCGAACCTGGCCCAGGCGTCGCGCAGTTTGTCCAAGCTTGTCCTTGAGAAGACGCTATCTGCGTCCACGCGACCGCCAAATGGAGTGTCCTCAGCGCCCACAGCTACCTACACCAACATTGAGAGCGCGCCCAGTCTTGCGCCGCTGAAGCACTACTGCGACGTGACGGGTCTGCCAGCGCCCTACATGGATCCCAAAACCAGGATAAGGTACCACAATCGGGAGGTGTTTGCCATGATCAGGACTCTACCGCAGGGTGTTGGGGAGCAATTTTTGGAGGCGAGAGGCGCGCATACAGTTCTGAAATAAGCCCGAGGAAAGAGTGCGACGGCCGGATTCAGAGCGTGGTTGCTGCCGGGCCATCCACTCCACGATATATGTTTTATGATGTTCGACAAAGTGTATTCTGGGTTACGCTCCCCGTTATTGCCCTGCGCGGAAAACCCCAAATTTAAGTCGCGCTCGCCTTACTCCCTCAGGCTCGCGACTGCCTCCGTGGCCAAGCTGCCCTACTTTTGGCAGCACCGCGCATTCAGCTGCCAACCAGGCTATTCCACCATCAAGCTCTCGTCTAGCAGTATTTATTGATCGAGGGAAAACCGCGAGCTTCATCGACTAGTTCATCATGCTCATTTGGAGTAACTATTAACAGCCCCGTTTCCTTGCTGCACCGTGGATCGGACACGAAACGCACCCCCAGCACCCGGCCGTCAAGTCCAGAGATTGACAATGGACGCCTCGCCCTTCGGGTCCCCATCTAGGCAGCCCGTCCCAGAACCTGCAACGCCCCCCTCAACCCAGGATTTTGCGCGACATACCTCGTTCATCCCATCTGGGATTGTGACGCCCACCCCAAGCGCTCGGACTGATGTCCCACTGCTGCCGACCAACCACCCGATCCCGCCCGTGCCCGCCATGCACGAAAAATACTCGCCGTAAGCCCTCCTCAGCTTGATAATTCCGGATTCTGAGGACTAACCACGCCGCGGCTGCAGGAAGCCAATATGGCTGCGGGTGCTCAGGAAAATAAACGAGGTGCTTCTCGGGAAGGAAAAGGCATCGGTGTATTGGTATGCGAGTCTTATGTCGGTCCTCGCCGCACTGGTCGTCACAGGCTCGAGCATTTTCGGCTGGCCGCCTTTGCCCATTTGGGAATACCTCCGACACGCGACGGGTTGATGGGAGGAGGGCTGTTTGATACAGGGATGGGTCTATCCTGGCTACTGGGGTTGAATCAAGCCTGGCGCTGACAGATGGATTGGGATGAAGAAGGTCATCAAGACATCCCGGCCGTGAGGGCGGTCGTTGCACAGGATGTGTGTTTTATATATGTACGACCAACAAAGTCAAACCCCAACTACGCACTCGCTGCCTTTCGGCAGAAAGATGACAGTCGACGCTCCGGCTTAATCGTGATCAGGTTGTTATATGCCTTTGATGTTTCGACAGACCACCGAGAGAGGACGGAGAGGAACCAAACTCAGTTGCCCCAGCAAGTGCTGGAGCCGCCGCGGCAAGTTGAGAAAGCATAGTTGATGAAGAGAAGACCCTACCTACCTTGCTGGGCTTTTAAACCAACCATTGAAACCTCGGATGAAGGACAACGTGTGCTGGTTTAGCTTGCAATGAAGCAAGCCTAGGCTCATTGAAGTAATAACATGCGTTTCTCTCGCCTTGAGCGGAGAGAAAGTATGAACGTTTGTTTGTCCCATCTCAACAGCCAAACGAATTTTAGTTGCAAGTTTCGTTGCAAAAGGTTAAAATTCCACACCATGAAAACATCGAAGCGCCCAGATAAGGGGACCCAGAGCTGCAGCTTTTGTCCAATGAGAGGCGTCACGCTTTGACTTGCCTGCCGGACTAGGGTTCCTGGCAACGGCAATCTGTCGCCTTGGCGGCTTGAGGTTGTTAGCCCTTTTCCGTGTCTCGAATTGCGCGGCGCAACAAGACTCGAAAAACGAGAACAATCTTCTTCCTTTCCTGCTTACAATCTCCATATTCAGCGCCTGTACCGGGTACATCGACACACCATTCCACTTTCTGCCTCCCCCCTCACATTCCGACAAGATGCCGACCATGTGGATGTCAGACTCGCAAAGTACACTGCACCCTTCCCCCCAGGTCTACGCTTGGTCGCAAAAGGCAGGAACCTAAAAGAAGAAAACTAACCTTGTTTCCGTCCAGAAATCGGGGTCGCTTTTTGCTCCGGCGGTACGTTCACGACTCAATCCCTTGTCACCCCTTTCCCTCGACCGACGCCGCGCAACCTCGCTCCAACACGGCACCCCCTTCCCGCGATCCGAGAACAAACGACTAACGTTCTCTTCCCACAGGCGGCTTCTTCCTCATAGCCGGCGTGCTCCTCTTCTTTGACCGCGCCATGCTTGCAATGGGCAACGTCAGTTCCCCGCTCCAACAACCCCCCCCCCCCCCCCCCTTCGGCCCCCAAACCAGCCAGCTAACCCCCCCATCTCCCTCACAGATCCTCTTCCTCATCGGCCTAACCATCATCATCGGCCCGCAAAAGACCGCCTTATTCTTCGCGCGCAAGCAGAAGCTCAAGGGCACGGCGGCCTTCTTCGGCGGGCTGGCGCTGATCCTGCTGCGCTGGCCTTTGATCGGCTTCCTGGTCGAGCTGTACGGCATCCTGGTGCTGTTTGGCGACTTCCTGGGCACCATCGCCACCTTCGCGCGCAACGTGCCCGTGGTCGGGCCGTATATTGGTATGGTGGTGGATCGGGTGGGGTTGGGGGAGCGGCGGAATGCGGAGTTGCCTGTTTAGGGGGGTTGGGGGAGTGACGGGTGTGGGTGTGAGTGTGTTTAATATGGAAGTTTGGGTGTGGTTGTGTGTTTAGGTGTGTTTGTTGGGGAGGGCGGGCTGGGTGTTTTGGCTGGATTGCCGCCGCCGCGGCGGTGGGGGATGTTCACGGCTGTATCGACGACTCGAAAGACTGCACGATATCGGGTTTTGGAGTTTCCTGGACGAGGCGCTTTAATCACTGGTTCGTTTCGCACACCACCCGGCGCAGAGGATACGGGAAAAGGGAAGGATTTGGGACGATTTTAAATGGGTCACCGGCCGGTTTCTCGTGGCAAGGGGCATCAAGGCGGCGTTGGGCGATGCTGATACCAATCTTATAATATGGCGTGTCCGTCTGCGTGAAGTGTAGCGCATACAGGGTGTGGTAGTAT